AGAAAAAGAGGGAATCCTCCCAAACTCATTTTATGAAGTCAGTATCATCCTGACACTAAAGCCCGGCAGAGACATGCACACAAAAGAGAATTTTAGACCAATATCCCTGATGAACATCGATGCAAAAACCCTCAATAAAATACTGGCAAATCGAATCCAGCAGCACATTAAAAAGCTTATCCACCATGATCAAGGGGCTTCCCTGGGATGCAAGGCTGGTTCAACATACACAAATCAATAAATGTAATCCATCATATAAACAGAACCAATGACAAAAACCACGTGAAAAGACCTTCGACAAAATTCAACAGCCTTTCATGCTAAAAATTCTCAATAAATTGGGTACTGATGAGACATATCTCAAAATCACAAAAGCTGTTTATGACAAACCCACAGTCAATAGCACACTGAATGGGCAATAACTGGGAGCATTCCCTTTGAAAATTGGTACAAGGCAGGGACGCCCTCTCTCATCACTGCTATTTAACATAGTGTTGGAAGTTCTGGCCAGGGCAATCAGGCAGGAGAAAGAAATCAAGGGTATTCAATTAGGAAAAGAGGAAGTCAAATTGTCTCTGTTTGCAGATGACATGACTGTATATTTAGAAAATCCCATCGTCTCAGCCCAAAATTTTCTTAAGCTGATAAGCAACTTCAGCAAAGTCTCAGGATACAAAATCAATGTGCAATAATCACAAGCATTCCTATACACCAATAACAGGTAAAGAGAGAGTCAAATCATGAGTGAACTCCCATTCACAATTGCTTCAAAGAAAATAAAATACATAGGATTCCAACTTACAAGGGATGTGAAGGACCTCTTCAAGGAGAACTACAAACAACTGCTCAATGAAATAAAAGAGGACACAAACAAATGGAAGAACATCCCATGCTCATGGATAGGAAGAATCAACATCCTAAAAATGGCCATATTGCCCAAGATAATTTATAGATTCAATGCCATCCCCATGAAACTACCAATGACTTTCTTCACAGAATTGGAAAACATAGGCATGGGCAAGGACTTCATGTCTAAAACACCAAAAGCAATGGTAACAAAAGACAAAATTGACAAATGGGATCTAATTAAACTAAAGAGCTTCTGCACAGCAAAAGAAACTACCACCAGAGTGAACAGACAACCTACAGAATGGGAGGAAATTTTTGCAATCTACCCTACTGACAAAGGGCTAATATCCAGAATCTACAAAGAACTTAAACAAATTTGAAGGATATGAACTGACACTTCTCAAAAGAAGACATTTATGCAGCCAACAGACACATGAAAAATGCTCATCATCACTGGCCATCAGAGAAATGCAAATCAAAACCACAATGAGATACCATCTCACACCAGTTAGAATGGCAATCATTAAAAAATCAGGAAACAACAGCTGCTGGAGAGGATGTGGAGAAATTGGAACACTTTTACACTGTGGGTGGGACTGTAAACTAGTTCAACCATTGTGGAAAACATTGTGGCGATTCCTCAAGAATCTAGAAGTAGAAATACCATTTGACCCAGCCATCCCATTACTGGGTATATACCCAAAGGATTATAAATCATGCTGCTATAAACACACATGCACACGTACATTTATTGCGGCACTATTCACAATAGCAAAGACTTGGAATCAACCCAAATGTCCATCAATGATAGACTGGATTAAGAAAATGTGGCACATATACACCATGGAACACTATGCAGCCTTAAAAATGATGAGTTCATGTCCTTTGTGGAGACATGGATGAAGCTGGAAACCACCATTTTGAGCAAACTATCACAAGGATAAAAAATCAAACACCGCATGTTCTCACTCATAGGTGGGAATTGAACAATGAGATCACTTGGACACAGGATGGGGAACATCATACAACAGGGCCTGTTGTGGGGTGGGGGGAGGGGGAGAGATAGCATTAGGAGATATACCTAATGTAAATGAGGAGTTAAGGGGTTCAGCACACCAATATGGTGCATGTATGCATATGTAACAAACCTGCATGTTGTCCACATGTACCCTAACTTAAAGTCTAATAATAGTAATCAAAAAAACCAACACAGTATCATTTATAATCAGGTACTACAAATTGCTAAATTTTTATAATTAGTGTAATTTAAATGAAGGAAATATATTCAAGAAAAACAAAAACACCAGGAAATGTTTTCTTTTCCCTCATGTGCTTAATATTTTTGGTGAATAGTAATTATAGAGCTAATACATGTTCACTATAGAACTTTTATAAAATACAGGTAATTATAACACAAGACATAACTCTGGAGAAAATAATTTGGAAGTATCACTTAAAATCTCTCTAGAATTTTTTTACATACACACATACACATTTATCTTTCTATCACTAATTATATCTTTATTAACATAGTTGTTCATAATACCAATGCCATATAATTTTATATTCTATCTTTTAATTTAATGTTAAAATTATTTTGTAACATTGTTTTCTTTCAAAATATGACTTGCAATATCTGTATAGTATTCTATTTCATAGGTATACCATACTTTACTTAAATATTCCAATTATTTGGAAAATGTACATGCTTTTAAAATTAAATATGCTTAATTGAATACATGTGTGCATATAGCTTCATAAATTATAATCCTAATACAGACTCCTATATTTGAAATTATAGAGCCAAGGGAACTATTTCTAAATTTACTTCCAGAGTTTGAAATAATTTATGTAACCATGGACAGCATAATACAGTTTTTTATGTCACTTATGTGATGGGTAACATCTCACATAAATAACCAATTAAAATATTTGGGTATCTTAATCTTGTTTAAATTTTAATTTTTTAATTTAATTTTTATTTTAAGTTCAGGGGTACATGTGTAGGTTTACTATATGGGTAATCTTGTATTATGGGTGTTTGTTGTACAGGTTCTTTTTTCACCTAGATATTAAGCCTATTACCCATTAATTATTTCTCCTGATCCTCTACCTCTTCCCACCCTGCACCCTCTAATGGGCCCCAGTGTCATTGTTCCCTATTGTGTGTCCAAGAGTTATCATCATTTAGCTCCTACTTACAAGCGAGAATATGTTGTATTTGGTTTTCTGTTCTTGCGTTAGTTTGCTAAAAGTGGTGGCCTCCAGCCCCATCCATGTTCGTGGAAACGACACGATCTAATTATTTTTTATGGCTGCATAGTATTTCATGGTGTATATGTAGCACATTTTCTTTATCCAGTCTATCATTGATGGGCATTCTGGTTGGTTCCATGTCTTTGCTATTGTAAATAGTGCTGCAATAAACATATGTGTGTATGTGTCTTTATAGTGGAATGATTTATATTCCTTTGGGTATATATTCAGTGATGGGATCACTGGGTCAAGTGGTATTTCTGTTTTTAGGTCTTTGAGGAATCACTACACTGTCTTTTACATAGATTGAACTAATATGCACTCCCACCAACAGTGAGTAAGTGTTCCTTTTTCTCCACAACCTCACCAGCATCTGTTATTTTTTGACATTTTAGTAATAACTATTCGGACTGGTGTTAGATGGTAACACAATGAGATATCACTTCATACCAGTTAGAACTGCTGTTATTAAAACCATTCACTGTGATTTTTATTTTCATTTCTCTAATGATCACTGAGCCTTTTTTTCATATAATTGTTGTCCACATGTATGTTTTCTTTTGAAAAGTGTCTGTTCACATCCTTTGCCTACTTTTAAATGGAGTTGTTCGTTTTTATCTTGTAAATATGTTTAAGTTCCTTATAGATGCTGAATTTAGGCCTTTGTCAGATGTATCGTTTGCCAAAAAATTTTTTCCATTCTGTAGGTTGTTTGTTTACTCTGTTGATAATTTCTTTTGTTGTGCAGAAGCTTGTTAGTTTAATCATATCACATTTGTCAATTTTTGTTTTTTAATATCTTTTAAAAAATTACTGAGGTTTATTGGCTCCAGTATTAGTTTCCTAGGGCTGCCATTATGAAGTACCAAATACGGTCTCAGTATTTTTGATATTAAGAATCAGAAATCAAGTACTTGGGAGGGCCATACTCTCTCTCTCTCTCTCTCTTTCAGCTCTAGGATAACATCCTTCCTTGCTACTTCTAGCTTTTGGTGTCTGCCAGCAATACTTCTTCCTTAGCTTATAGATGCATTGCTGCAGCAACATGGTTGCTTTCTGCCCTTTGTGTGTGCACATTGTCTTTCATCTGTGTGTGTCTGTGTCCAAACTTCCTTTTTATAATGACACCAGTCATAGTGTAAATAAGGTCACATTCTGAGAGACTGGGGTTAGGACAACATACTTTTTTGGAGGGAGGGACGAGTGGGACATAATTTTGCCCATAACAACTACCTATTTTTTAAAATTAGGTTTATATACTTGGTTTTCCACTGAGAGTTTAATTTTTATAAGCTTATTTTAAAGTGTTTTTTAATATTCAAGGTTGGTATATGTTATTATAACATTAATAACAAAAATTAGTAATAGTTTTCACTTTGTTATTTGGTATAAACTTAATCTTTTGTTTTTAAAAGCCTTAACAAATTAGTCATTTATGTTACTTGGAGGGAAGTGGATGGAGTCTCCCTATGTTGACCAGGCTGGGCCCAAGTTCCTGGACTCAAGGGATCCTCCTGCCTCAGTCTCTTGAGTAACTGGGACTACAGGTATGTGCCACTGTGCCTAACAGGCATTAATTTATGTTGATCTTTTTCTTTTACTTCTACAATATAGAGTGTAAAAAAAACCCTTTTTCTAACCACCTGAGAGATGAACGGTGGTTTTACTCTTTATATTTAATTGTTTGTCCTTTCTGGCATTTATTTTGATAAGTTGTGTGGAAGAAGTATTTATCTTCCTCTTTTCCTCCCTCCTACCACTTGCGCTCTCTCTCTCTCTCTTTCTTCCTGATTTCAAATAGATTTGCTACCATTTTAAAACTTGTCTCTCAGCGTGATAACAGAGGTTACTTCTTGAGAACAAGTTTTTCTAGTCATGATTGTGTGTACACACACACACACGCACACACACACACACACACAGAGGAGAGCAGTGTTACAGTACTGGAGATTGGGGGATAACCACAGACAAGACTGAGGGGAAAAGTGTGTTGTGATCATCTCTCAGTTTAAGCCTAAAAAGAATCTAAACATTTTTTAACTACTGAAAACCCCATTTCTCTGGGGCCCACTTCCTCTGCAATGTATGATCTTTCTGAGGGCTGCCTTTACGTCACGATTCCTCAGACAGTAAATGATGGGGTTGAGGAGTGGAATGATGACAGTGTAGAGAACAGATACCACTTTGTTGGAATTGTAGGCATACATGAGTTTGGGACGGGCATAGGTGAAAAGGGTTGTGGAATAGAAGAGAATTACAATGGTCAGATGGGAGGCACAGGTGGAGAATGCCTTTTGGCGGCCCTGAGCAGAAGGGATCCTGAGGATGGTGGCAAGGATAGCAGCATAGGATGCCACCACAACACAAAGAGGAATAGCAATGACCATGAGGGCCAAGAAGAAGTCCACCAGCTCAGCCTGTGAGGAGTCCTCACAGGAGACGTTAAGGAGTGGAGAGATATCACAAAAGTAGTGATTGATCTGAGGCGTGCCACAGTAGTGAAGTTGCGCTATAAAAACCATCTTAATCATGGCAGTCATGAGTCCACAGAACCAGCATCCTCCAGCCAGTGTGCCACAGAGCTGGTTGATCATGATGACTGGGTAGCGTAGTGGATTACAAATGGCTACATAGCGGTCAAAGGCCATGACAGCAAGAAGGGTGTACTCAGTGCAGACAAAGGTCACAAAAAAGTAAAGTTGAGTCATGCAACCATTGAAGGAAATACTCTTGTCGTGACTGAGGAAGTCAACAAGCATCTTGGGGCTGATGACTGTGACATACCACATCTCCAGGAAGGAGAGGTGGCTCAGGAAGAAGTACATGGGCTTATGTAGCTGCCCATCACTGTGGATAGCTAAGATGATAAGAAGATTCTCCAGCAGTGTCAGCAAGTAGGTTGCCAGGAAAACGGAGAAAAGAAGAAGCTGGAAGGCTGGTCGTGTTGGAAACCCCAGAAGAATGAAATGTGTTGTCACTGTACGATTATCTACTTCCAGAATTATGGTGGTCATGACTGGCTGTGGGCACAGACAAAGTCAGTTCCTTCCATGACACAAGCACTAGTCTATGGTTATTTGTATTGAGAAAGCCCACCACTAGCAAGTTTATCACAATAGGAGGTCTCTGCTTTTTTATCTGACTGCCTCTTGAATTATGGTGAGAACCAAAGCTTTTGAGAAAAGGGAGCTTATATTTTAACTTGTTTTCAAATTTTCTCAAGAGCAGTAACTTGTCCAGGGTCATACGAAATAGAGGTTATAACTTTCTAAATCCTAGTTCTGTGCTTTGCCAATATATCACTTTTGGGCACACAAAAAAAATGGTCTCCAGACCACCCTTTCGCTACAGGCAAAACATCCCCATCTACTGAATATGGAGAGGAGGAAGAGGACCCAATTACCCATTCTCTAGGGGCAATTTGTGTGACTCTGGAGTGGTTGCATGACCCCACTTATCTTTGAAATGCAGAGAATTTTCCTGCTTTTGTCTAACAAGGTGCTTAAGCTTGAATGAAGCAATAACTGAGCCCACCCACAGGACTAACAGCAAAATCAGGTTTGATGCAATTATTCACCAGCTTTTCAGAGAGCAAACCTGATTGGATAACTTGAAGGGTAATATTTTCTTCAATACAATCCATTGTATAAAATGCTTGCTTAGGAGTTTGACAAAAGTGCATTCAAATCCAACTTTTGTCTTCATATATCTAAGTGAGAATACCACATAATCTTTTAGAATACTAGTTACTTTATTTATAAAATGGGGATAATACAATGGGGTTCACATTTTGTGAACATCAAATGGGATTTAGAGTTTAAATTCAGTTCCTGTGATATTTGCTGTTACCTTTCCAGGCTACTCCACTTACCCCCACATACATAGCTCCTCCTCCTTTTAAAACAACACACACTCTACCCCACACACAGAGCTTCCCCCACCCCAACTTCGACCCCTGCCGAAAACAGCAAAAAACTGGTGCAAACAGCAGCCCTTGTTAATGAGAAAAGGGAGAGGACTGTGGGACTTTTCCAAGGATGCTAAATTAGAAAACCATATTCTGTTGGGAGTAATATCAGAGAAAACGAGCAAATTAGTGACTCTTCTGCATTTCTGTTCATTAGTTTCGCAAAATGTGTTACCTCTTTTTGTGTTAGGCTGAGAATCATTCCCAAACCTATTGATACTGAACACCTTCCCATTTCAGGTCTCGCTCTGTGTCCTATTGCTTCCATTCTCTTTTCTGCTCTTCTCCAGAGTCACTTTCACTCTTGCTCCCCATTTCTCAACAGCTCAATTTTATGGTATAAATGTGTAGGACAACTAGGAAAGGGTTTTTTTTTTTTTTAAATTCCTAAGGAATGACCATGAGCTGAAAAAGCCAGAAAACTACTGCCCACACTATCCATTTCCTCTTCCCATTTAGATTTCAGCTTTAGAATCCTGAAAGGCAGAATAGAAAGGCACGATTATTCCTTGTTAGAGAGGGAAATGGACACAGATAACCCAGAAAAGGCACATAATATATTACAGTGTAAATGCAAATAATTTTCTTTTTTTAAATTTTTTTATTTTTTATTTATTTATTTTTTTGAGACGGAGTCTCGCTCTGTCACCCAGGCTGGAGTGCAGTGGCGCGATCCGGGCTCACTGCAAGCTCCGCCTCCCGGGTTCACGCCATTCTCCTGCCTCAGCCTCCCAAGTAGCTGGGACTACAGGCGCCCGCCACCTCGCCCGGCTAGTTTTTTTGTATTTTTTAGTAGAGACGGGGTTTCACCGTGTTAGCCAGGATGGTCTCGATCTCCTGACCTCGTGATCCGCCCGTCTCGGCCTCCCAAAGTGCTGGGATTACAGGCTTGAGCCACCGCGCCCGGCCTAATAATTTTCTTTTCTGTTGGAATACAGTTCCTGAAAAACACACTCACAAATATAAACACATGCACAGTCAACACAAAATCTGTCTTTGCTCACCACCGCGTGGTATTCACTAGGCAGTGTGGGAGTGGGACGTACAAGCAAGTCCCATCATGAACCTCCTAATCTTTTTCTTCATCCTGATTTAAAAAAAAAATCTTTGAGTCCAAAAATTCAAACCAACTTAAAATCTATTCGTGAAGAGTGTAGGCCAGACTCCACCTTGCTCTCTGTTACTACATCACCATCTTTTTCAATGAATTGATGAAATGAACATGTTTCTAGCTATTGAGGGTAGTATTACTATTTGCAAGGCACTTTCTTTGTTCATAGTAATAGGATATAAGTCTCCAGAGTCATGTCCTTGGGCTTAATCTTTGTGTCTATTTTTTTTTTAATATTCTAGAAAACCACAGGCAAGACATTATACCCTAATGTCATCTTTTCTCGGGACCACCCACAGTGTCCTGCAGAAGATGCCTAGCCCAAAAAGCATAGTTAGAATAATTCTACTAAATAATGCAATATATTCTCCATTCCTTTGCAATAGATATTATCATTCTTAGGGTAGTTGCTTCAGATGTGAAGCTGGAAATAAAAACAACTAATTTAATTTTAAGAATAAGAATAAGTAGATAAAGTGGGAGATATTTTCACAGAACTATGCGTTTATTCATTCTTCCTCTAATTCCAGCAGAGTCCAGATGAAGTTCCACAAAGTAAAAATACAAAGAAATAAAAAGGAAAGGGAGTATACAGTATTATATAGAGAACATCTGATTAAGCAGCTTTATCATTTGAGCATGGAATTTAGCTTTGAGGTCTCTAGCAGTCAAGTAGAAGAGGAAAACAATTCAAAGTACAATATGCTGTCATTCAAGTTTCAAAATTATTCACACATATGTATATACAGAATTATGTTTTGATAAATGTGAAAGTTAATGTATAAAGAGGTAGAGTGATTTATCAAAAGGCACATACATTATAGATATAATAAGGGTCTAGATTTCCTAATTCCTAAAACTAGCCATAAATTTCTAGGGCTAGATTATCTGAGTCACATCGTAGTGCCTTCTGAGACTGTTGAGACAGTCCATTGGGCAGGCTTGTGAGGAAGAGAGCAAGGCTCACAGAGTTAACAGCCTTCCCTCCAGTGGAAGTTTTATAGCAACTGGATTCTGAGGAGGCTCTGCTGAATATATGGAAACATCTTTACTGCCAGATGGTAACTCACATTTGTGTATGTGAAAGCACATTCACATCATTCTATCTGATCTTCACCATCGTGGAGTTAGCACCAATGTCACAGTGCTGACTTGACGTGAAGATATTAAATGTCTAGCTGAATGGTACACAGCTAAGTTGCTTAATGGCAGAATTGGAATTAAACAGCAAATTTATTTTTTTATAATCCACTGATTTTTGTGTATGAGTATGTAGAGGATGATCTATGAATTGGGTGAGGCTTTTTTTTTTTTCATCTGAGAATTAAATTGTACCTTTAAAAATAGTTTTAATGGCACTCTATGCAAGGAATGAAAATTTAAGGAGAATCAAAGGGCCAGACTGAGAGCCAAGAGCCAGTTGAAGGTTCCGGTACTCTGGATCTCAACCATATTACCTAGCAGCAGGTTAAACCATCTCACTTTTTCTTGTAGCCAACTGTCAGTTATGCATTGTGGACTTGTCTCATGAAATAATAGCATTTTAAAATCAGTGGTATTTTAATTCAAACTTATTTTTTTCCTCAGATAAGGAAATCCCAGAGTGATTTAAGTGATTTTTCTCTAAGTTTAAACAACTATATAGTGGCACAGTAGCAATTTATTAATGATTACATTTTAGTCCCTGGCAAGCTTTAATCCCCAATTGTCTTATACAATTCATTCAATTTAATTCCTTCTATGGCTCGCTGTTATCTTACACACTTCATTCAAATTAATTCCTTATCTGACCCAATTATTATTAGCTCAAGAAAGACAAATCATCTTAAGTTTTAGCCTGATTTGAATAGAACCATAAAAGTTAATGTGAGTCTTACAACAATGATTTTCTCAAAAATATATTTTTTAGCTTTCACAATTGCTTGTTCATTGTATTGCTCATGTACACACACACACACACACACACACACGCACACATTGCTAAGCAAGTGGAATGAGATCCTTCAGCTCTAGAAACACAGGATTGTAGGACGGCAAAGAACCTGAGAGGTAACATGATTTAGCTCCCTACCACATTTGTGAAGATGCAAGTGTTCACCCAGACTTTGCCTGACTTTTTCCAGGAATGGAAATCCAGTATCTGTAAAACTAACCATACTTTAAATAAGAGAAACTTTTGATTTGGGAGGTGGAAGGCTTTCTCTTCTGAACCCCAATACACCCATGGGTCCTGGTTCTGTTTCTGAAAGTAAATCTTGCCACCTTCTCAAAGGATAGACTTCACTGTTTGAAAATAGCCATAAGGTCCTTTAAACCTCCAATTCCCACCCCCCTACCACCCCCATTACCCCTGTCTCATCATGTCTCTCCTTTTTTAGATTAAGCCACTCAATTTCCATATATATGTATGGAGAATATGCACGCACACACACACACACACACACACACACACACACACACATATATCCAGGTTATCAGTTCCCTAAAGATTGTGATCATCCTCTTTGGATGATTCCAGCTTAACTGGGACATTTAATGGGGACAAATATCATCAGGCTATGGAAAATACAATTGGTATTTAAGGCTTAGTTTCACTCTGGAATCAGAGAATAAGAATATCTTCTTTTTCCCCTTGAGCCTTCCACCAGAAAGTAACAAGAGGCTCTCTTTCTGATTTCCCAGGGAGGGTGGATATGACCTTTCCCATAGCTAGTGGGCAACGAGCCCAGGATAATAATGGGTCTAGGAAATGACCTGCTCTGTTGTTTGTGGGAAAATGAGGTATAGGGAAGAAAATGTATATCGTCAAATTGCTCCTGGTAATGGAGGCATTTTAAAAATTGCCTTACAAGCTCTGTGGGGATTGGTTTGGCCAAACTGAGGGTCTCAGAAGTCTTCAAAAATGGAACATAGGTGGTGAAAGAAATAACAGAGCAATC